TTTTGAACATAGGTATAGTTAGAGTTTTTTGCAAAGTTTTTGTCAAATGCCATTAATTAATTAACGTATTTATAAACAGGGCCAAAAGTGAAAATAAATACTTCTAAAACTTATTTTCCTATAGTATGTTCTAACCAATCTTCAAATCCACTAGTAAAATGTTGTTTTATAAGTTACAATCTTTGTCTTTTTAAGGCTTAAAATAGTAATGTCTATCCTTTGTAGCTACCGCTCACTATAAAGTTCTAAAGAGGATATGACACATCTTACTCTCTAATCTCTTTTGGATGTCAAAGTGATTTGGAAACCAAGAAAACCTTTAATGTACAAGTATTTGCAAGATTTAAGTACAAAGATGAAGAGATTATACAATAAAAATTTTGGCTTGAATAGTAGATGAATTTATTTTTTGCTTTTCGAATGTTCTAGAAATGGAAAATCTTGACTTGTGATTAGATCTGTTCAAAGGTTGGACTATTCACCCAAACCCGAAAGCTTGTTCAAGTTTTAAGAGAGCTTAGATAAGAAATTAAAAAATGTTAAACGAGTTTGGGCATAATTTTTAAGCCTGCTCAAATTTCAAGTCGGGTCTTAGACAAAGGAATTAAAACTCGAGCCTGGATCGACCCGACTCGAATAAACTATATATAATTATAATATTATAATTATATAAGTATATGTATGTGAATTATTTTATTTTATTTTTATTTTTTAAAAATTTTTATTATATAAATTAAGTGGGTGGGTTTGAGATTTATTTTTTCAATTTGGATTAGGCTTGAAAAAATTTTAAAGATGAAAATATCTGATCTAAACAAGCATATAAACTATTAATGTCAAATATGGGTCAAACCTAAACTTGACCCAGCCTAGTCCATGAACACCTCAACTTGTGATGCTTTGGATGTAATCTTTTGCTTTTGAATATGTTAAAGGCTTCTTTTTATGTGGATTTTAGATTTCTAACTATAACGAGTTATTGGTATTGAAAAATAATTATTATTTCTTTCAAATTTTGTCTTTATTCGAACTTTTCTAAGCAAAAGAATTGTTCCTCTACCTTAGAAGATCAATTCTCATGCTTTCAAATTAAAAATATAGCAATTAAAAATGGGCAGGATTGATTCTCTTGCTTCAAAAATAGGGGAAGAGCATTCTAACTCTAAGGAGATCAATCCCAAGACCTATCCTAGTATTGGTCCTCTTGGTTAAAAAAAAGGGAAGGAGAATCAATTGTATTCATGAGAGGATTGGTCCTCTTGTTCTCAAATTTGCTTATTTTGATATTTTACCAAAAAAATAGTTAATTTTTCTCAAACATAATTTTACTAATATTATTCATTTAAGAGTATGACTTGTTGAGAAAAATAAAGGTTCAATAATATTTAGTAAATTTTCAAAAATTGATTCAAAAATAATATTAACCAAAAATTTAAAAATAAATAAAATTTAACTTAATGTTTTGTTATATCAAAACCTTAAATCATTTCAAAACTAACAAACATGATATTTAAACTCGAGTTTGATTTGACTTGATCTAAAATATTATTATATTAATAAAAAATATTTTTATTTAATTTTAATTAAAAACTTAAAATATTAATATTAAAAGTCTTTTTGTAATATAATAAATAGTATTATATTATTATTTTAATAATAAATATTAATGCTATTTAAATAATATTTTAATTATTTAATAATTAATATTATTTAATATAATATTAATAGTACTTTAATAATATGAATATTTTAATCATTTTTTAATAATTTTCACTTTAAAATATATTATTTTTATATTTTATTGACTAATGTATTTATATTATTATTTAGATAATAAATATAAATGAATATTTTTAGTTATGATTTAATAATTGATGCTTTCAATATAAAATATAACTCTAAAATTTTAATATTTTAATATTAAATACTATTAATTTAATATTATTATATTAAAAATAATATTTTAATAATATTATTATTTTAAACATTTTAAAATATTAATATAAATAATAAGAAATGGTTTTGTTTTGAGTGTTTAATATTAATATACTAGTTTAATATTAAATATTATAGTGAAAATAAAATTGCTTTTTTAATATTAATAAATATAATAATAAATAATTTGAATATATTTTATTAATAAATAAATTTTAATATTTATAGTTATGTCAATATTACCAAAAAATAGATTTTTCATAAAAAATCAAACAGAAAAAATATTTTTCATCGATGCATTCAACCAATGGAAAAATTCTATTCTTTCAAAGATGTAAATATTTTTCAAAAAATATTTTTTGAAAGCCAATTTTTGTGAAACAAATGGAATTAAAGGGAAAAGAAAAATTAAAACACTATGCAACTACCTTGATGGAAATTAACTTTTATGGGATGTTTGGTTTGCGAATTTTAACTTTTTTTTTTTTTCAAAATCTAATTTTTTTGGTTTGGTTTAGAAATTTTCGCATGTCAGGAATCTTACAATATTAACAGTGTCAAAAACAAAAAAAATATTAGGAGAATAAAAAAATTTCCTCTTTTTGAATTCTTTTAGATTTAGAAGAAAAGTAATATTTTTGCCCGTTTCATATTAGAAAAGTAGTAATTTTATATATTACTTTTATTTAATCTTCACAATTCAACAAAAAACGGAGCTTTTAAGATAAAAACGTGATATTTCTTAAAATATGAAAAAAAAAAAAAAGTTTTTCAAAATTTAACAAAAACAACTTTTTTTAAGACAAAAAACATAAATTTTGTTGAAAATATGCAAAAATTTTATTTTTCATAATTTTACTTCAATATCACTTTTTCCATAAAAATTACTTTATCTTTCAAAATCTAAAAATCTACGAATCAAATAACACCTTAATTTAATATAAGCTCGCATTTATATATAACATATACTCCATATACTCCTAGAGATTGAGAAAAAATTGTAACTTTAGTGTATCTAGATTCTTCAATACTATTTTATTACAAGTGTGATTGTGTCAGAGACCACCTCACTAAGGTGGTGAAAGCGTCTTCAAAATAACATTCCAACTATTAAAGCTAAAAATTCCATCTTCAAACTTAGATTTATTTTTTATTTTTATAAGTTTAGTTTCAATTCTTCAAAAAGTGAAACTTTATGAGATGAGAAAAGGTTATATCTCACATACTATATCAAATGTAGCAAAGAAAAAACGATTTGGAGAAAACCAACTCCTACAAACTAAAATGATTTAAAATTTGAAGAAAATAGAAAAAAGATTGATAAATAAAACGAAACTATCATGTTGAATGAACTTTGATTCTTTATTAATAAACTATTCAATATAATTTTATAAAACTTAATTAAATTCGGACTGAAAATTATCCTTTTTTTTTTTTAGGGACACTGTCCAATTCAATCCTCTTTATATATATATATATATATATATATATATATATATGTATGTATTTATATATAGATAAAGAAGGATCTAATTGTATTAATATAATTTTTATACTTTGTAGACGTTTGGATCAAAATTATTAAATTTAAAAATATTATTTTGATTCAAACGGGTCATATATTTAATTTTGATCTAAAAATTCAAACAAAAAAAATATGAGTTATAATAATATAAATGAATCTCTTATATATATAATATATATATTACTATTCTGTTTTGAATTCAAAAACTAAACAAAATTCACAATTTTAAAATGAAGATTAAAAGCATTTTAAATATTTTAAAAAATATATATAATACTATAATCCCATATTATCAATTGATTTTAAATTAAACATTCATGTGTTATTATGATGATAGGTTTTTTTAGGGTAAATTAGAAAAAAGGAAAAAATATAAAAAAATTTTACATTTTGATCTAATAATGGAGTAGTAGCAAATGATCTTTTAATTGATTATATTCAAGCATTTTTCTAGCTGAATTTGATTCTTTTATGTTTTGAAAACAGAATTATAGAGTTTTAATTAAAGAACTAGATAACTTTTTGCCTCTGTTTTTAGAGTAAAAGAGAAAAATGGAACAAAATTCAGAGAAATATGCAAATGTTGTTGGATTTATTAGGCTGCTTATGAAAGCAAAGGTTGATAAATCAAATGAGGTTCCTTTGTATGTGCCTTTTTAATTGATGAGCTGAGCTTTTGCAAATATGTTAACTTTTTTTATGCATATTGTGTATATTCTACTATCTATAGTGATATAGACAAAAATTGTAAAAGATCGTACACATGAACCTGAAAATGTAAATCAACTTTCATCTTCAATATATTTTATATATAATACATATTTTTTAAAAAACATCACTATTCTTATACCCACAATGTAGTGCAGATTTGCATATTAGTATTTATGAAATATAAAAATAATTATGCATCGTATAAATTATAAATTAATTTTAATAAATGATCATAAATATAAAAAAATTTACTTTAACGCTTAGTTTTTAGGGTTTATAAAAACTTATTTGTTATAGTAAATAAGTATTTATATAAAATGTAAGTTAATTAAAAATGTTAAAAATAAATAAATATAACCTATTATATAAAATATTTTAAAATTTAAAATTAAATCAAGTTAAAATAATTAAATGCGAGACATGATATATTTATTCAAGATTGAATTTACATTAGATTATTATTTATTAAAAACTGATTTTTTTTTATATTTATATAAGATACCACAAATACCTTGATTTTAAATTAGATGCAAACGCGCTAATTTATTAATGACTTTTTTATATTTATATAAAATTTCACAAATATCTTGATTTTAAGTTAAATGCAAACATGCCGGTTTGTTAAAGTAAAATTTTCCCTTTTTTGTTTTCCCTTCCATTTTTTGGCCTTTTTCTAAATTTTATTTAAAGTAACATTTCCCCTTTTTATTTTCTCCTTTTTCTTTGGCCTCTAAAAATTTCATTGTCTTTTCAATTTTAATTCTTTTTAATTCTTATTTTTCTCTCTTTTCAATTATTATCTAAATTAAAAAAAAATACCAATGATAGTGAATTAGCAAGTCTGTTTGTGGATCCCAATGGAAGGTAAAAGATAGGTTGGATCTTCCTAATGTAGATAATGTATTTGGCTTTTGATTGAATGCTAAAGATGGGTGGCATATTAGGGAGGGTTGGGTATATGCATCATCAACATCCAACTACCCAAGTAGTATTTCATTAACAATAATTCTACATGATGCTCATAGAGGCACCTGTTTTTAATAACCTTCCTCATCAATCAAAATTGCATCTAGGCAAACTGCCTGACTTCAATTAAAGAAAAAAAAATACATCTAGCAGTATAACACAATGAGACATTTGTTCATACAGTATGTAGGAGTCAAAATCACAATGAGACCGGTCTAACCCTAATAAAATGATGCCGGCTTCCATCCCTGTATTAATCTTTGTGTTCCACAAGTAATCCTAGTGGCAATAGAGCTTGATTGATGAATCAGCACCTGCAGTGAATAGCCAGGGCTGCCTTGGATGGAACTTACAGTCCATTACTCCTGCAATAAACCCACACCATATAAGTACCTCAGCATAGGTTTCTACTATGACTTCCAAACGTAATACAAGCATATCCATGGTACTCACCTCTTCCATCTGAACTAGTATGCCCTCTCAGAATTTCCAACGGAACAATTAATGGACTCTGGTTAAGATCGGCATAAACCATGCTGTGAAAGACATAGGCAGTGCAATCATCTGAGCATGATGCAAATAGTGGGTATGATCGATGGAATGCCACATTAGTAATGTCTTTAGGATGACACCTGAAATGTCCAAAATAAATGGGAAAAGATTTACACCCTTCATAAAACAAAGACAAAAAGGCTAGACCCCCAATGCCCACATGAAAAATCTACACCAGCACACATTAATTTAGATAATAATTGCATATTAACTTTTCTTAATCACTTCATTTGGCCAAAGAAATTGCTAAAGGCCCATCAATAGTGGTTTCACAATATAAAGGGAGAAATTATTTATAAGTAAGATTGTGCTTCTAGTTTCAAAAGAACCATTGTCACATACTTGAGGGTTTTGTAAGGTTTAGACGAAAGATCCATATCAAACCAACACAATTTTCCCTCTTTGCTCCCCACAATTACGTTATCACCTGCAGACGGCATCATATATTGAGAAGGCAGCAGATAGTAGGGAAAGAAGGAAAAGAGATAGCAGTAACAAACGAAATCAGAAAACAAATGAAAAATACCAGCAGGATGCACAGCAATTGATGAAACTTCACGTAGTTGAGTCTCAAGCTTTTTAATTAGCTTTTGCTTCAACAGATCATACACACGAACATTCTTCTTGGTTGCAACAAAGAAGATAGAACGAGTAGGATGAAAAATCGATGATACTGGAAGGCCATGGAGCTTAAAAGGGAGTCTTTGAGTAAGTTTTTTAGAGATCTGGTGTATGAGAATAGCTCTTGATTCGCGTGATTAATAAGTTAAGAAAACCCATGAAAATGACCAAATGAATTATATACTTGTATCATCAGCTCCCCTAACAACCCCCCCCCCCCCCCCCAAGGGTAAAAAAAAGGGACATGCAAATAAAGCAATGTGATGGGAGCAAAAATTACTCTCTTAGGTACAGTTGCAATATTTTAGCAAAGCGGATTTGATCAAATGACCAGCAACAACAATGAAATATAGCCAAAAGGAATTAGTAGTCTTCTGCAAACACCCCCAAATTGTTCTTTTAACAATGACTACCATATAAAACATCAGCTGATGCATAAAAAGAAAAGAAAAAGTGTAACAATATTGGAAAAAGGATATCTGCCGGCATTACTGTAGAAAGATAGTCTCCTTTACGATGCCATTCTACTGATGATACTGTCTGCAACAACACATCAAAGCAAACTGTTATTATTTTCCTACAAAGCCTTTCAACTAGTTCGCAGTTTTCAACATTACTAGATAATTGCGAGTGCAAATAACTAAAGAGGGGGGAAACAGAAACCAAAAGTACCCTATAATGCCTTAGTCTGATGCAATCATGCTTTTCATCTTGAAACCAGCTTAAGAAAGATGACATATCGTCTGTGCATTAGAACGACATTTTCCAGAGTCAGACCATATCCATTTATACGATACATTGGAAATAATAGATGTTTCAAACTGACCGGAATCATCAGAAGAGTTAGGTGTTCCAATATGCAGAAGTTCCTTAATCTTTTTCTGTTCTTCCTCATTCCCAAATCCAGTGTTCAAAATAAGTACATCAGGTCCCCTGTGAAATATGAGTGTCTTAGCATAGAAAACATCCTGAAAAAAAGAAGGTTGGCAAAACTGCTTTGTTTTGATAATACAAGTAGTAAAAAGGAAGGTACAAAAAGCAGAGTGAAACTAAAACTGCAATCACTTTCTAATCAGCCTTACGCAGAAACTGCCAAAACAGGAAGCTCTGGCAGAGGATTCCATGCAACATGCTGGACAGCTTCACCAACCTGCCAAACTCTAAGACATCTGCTAGTTTCCACCTCCCAAATACGCACAGTTCCATCCTTTGAGCCTTTGCCAAACAGAAGCAATTATCAAACTCTGATTTACTCATTTTATATATGTGACAACCATCTTATACTTTGAATAGGAAATGCAGTTTATAGGCAAAATTTTCATACCTGAAGCAATCCATTGTCCAGAAGGCTCAACAGATATAGACAAAACTGCACCCTCATGTCCTCTATACTCAAGGTAACATGTCACTGGATAAGGCCTAAGATCTTGTCGACTAGGTAGCTTGGGCTTCAGGGATTCAGGGTCGATATTAATCTGATGCATAGAAAGTGGGAGCTTGATTAACTTGATTGTTATGAGAAAAGAGTGGCATAATGGACAATTCAAAGATTATGCCAGAAAACCATAAAGATTTCCTCCAAACAGAATCTCAGACTTACACGTTTCTTCCGCACTCTAGGGCACAAGTATAGATCCAAGCATCGTTCAAAGGAGTCCTTGATAGCATTCTCATATGCAGGAATGCTTCTAAAGGATGTGAACCTAAGCAAGTCAACATAATTAGGATCTTAGATGTTCCACTCTAAAACATACAGCCAAGTAAATGAGCAAATTCTTTCAAGCCAAATTGTAATTAACATAGTATATTACCTTTTAGGTATAAATTTAGGGCGATCTTCTTCATACATCAGCTGATAAGAGTTGATCTCTTCTTGTGTTGGCATGTATTCTAGAGAAGGATTATATGATTCCTCATGGCCTGAAAATTGATTAGATCAAAGCCCTCCTAATAGTTCAAATAGCATAGAATTAATAAGTAAATTTAAATAAGATAGCCCAAAGTCAAACCCGGCAATTTTGGCTTTGGAGGGGGAATGTAAGCCAAATGCTTAGTCCTATCTGCTGAGCTGGAATCATCTCCCCAGAGTAGATAGAAATGAGGCTCTTCTTTTGGCTTCTCAAGCCTTATCAATCCTTTGCGAATTGCCCTAACATACTCAACAACCTGTAGATTCACAATTATGATGAAAAATGGAACAACGTTCACCCCCATAAACACTTTAGTCTTTCCCACTCCCAGCAAATGTCATTACAAGTGTTTACTTCAAAGAAATAAATAAAAATGGAAAAAGAGTAGGTTGGGAGGAGCGAGGGGTTTGGAGGAGGGACAGAGATCTCACACATCATCTGAAAACTACATGCAAAGGATTTACCTTTTTGCTTTCCCATTTTGAAGGAATGAACCTCCTCTTTGGTTCTGGTGCACTAGATAAAGGATGTTTTGCATCATCCCATTTAAACCAATCAATATAAGGCTGCAAGAAATGGCTAACTGAGCGTAAAGTCAAGACAATAACTAAGGTTGGATATCATGGATGTGTGAATGAACATCAGACTAAAAGCAGTCACAAACCGCATATGGATCAAATTCAGCATGTGGTGCCTTCCCTTTGAGCAATCTGCGAATGAGTTTGGTCTCTTCTTTAGTCAGCTCTACTTCCTCATCATTATACTCATCATAGATCTTGCGCCTGAAGGTAACATCAATAACCAAAGTGTATAAGAATATATGACGTAAAGTGGTGCCATAAGAGTTAAATTGTACTTAGAAAACATAATATAGCATTGAGAAAAGCAACAGAAGTGTCCAGTAACATTCCTAATGTGAGATAGTATGTTCCTACTGTAAATTAGGCTTCCATGTATTTGTTTGACAAAAGGAAAACAGACAGAAATGTAACAAAAGAGTGCAGAGAGCCCCATAGTTGAGCCAGATGAAACACAGCATAAAAGAGCCTAAAAAGTAATGCAACTATCATATTCGATCTTCCTAAACATAGAAAAAGAGATTAAAAAAAAAAAACTCTCAAAGTAATAGCTATTCACATAAAAAGAGATAAATATATCCCTCAAAATAATAGCTATTCACATAAAAGCAAAATAATCAACAGTAGAGAATCTAACCAATTTTTCAAGTCATCAGCATTTGCAAGAAAGGAATGCAGTTTATCTTGTCGTTCTTTCTTTGTTATCTTTTTCCCAGCAATGTCATATCCAATATGTTTTTCATCCTTGTACCACTCCAAAGGAACATCACCAATAGTATTTCGAGGAGCCACCTTTTAGTTTAAAAGAGAGGTGTAAGAATCCAAATGAAAATTTTATTTTCTAAAATACTTAAGGCATGCCTGACCTCATCTTCAGATGAATCACTCTCATCAACTGCTAGATGGGATTGGGAGCTTTCACTTTGCTCATTTAGATCATGATTATCATCCAAGCCATCACTATTGTCTCTCTCAGTGAAACCCTGATATAGATACTCTTAATTAAATATTTGCAATCATACATAAAAATTCATTGCAAAGAAGTGAAGACGAAAATTTATTTGATGCTTGCTCAGGAGCATAGCAATGATAGCATATCATTTGTAAATGTCATAAAACAGAAGGGATTTGTTCTGGGTTCACTTGCATTGCATTCTTCATCATTATTTGAAAAGCTTGTATCTTTTCATAGTTGGGTAACTCAAGACCATCCCATCTGAAAATAACTAAAGCAATTACCATGTCTCTCATCTCCAAAGAATTCACTTTTGCCAGCTTCTGACTCTCCTGATGATTCATAGTCCTCAGACTTGGAGTCATAAAACTTGGAGATGTCCTGGAATTGCAAAAGAAAAGGAAAAAAAGGTTTTAACCTTGACATAGATGGTGATTTTTCAAAAAAAAAAAAAAAAATTTGACAATCAATAAGAAAGCACAAACCACCTAAAAGATTTTTAAAAAAATCAAGACTACCATCCATAAACATAGAACCCCACCCCAGAGGAGGCAGATTCAGTTTCTCTAGCTTATGAGTCTCAAAAATTCACAGTTGAACGAGACATAACTGGATAGCTAAAGATATAATTCAAAAGAAATAAAACAATGACGTTAACACAAATATATCTAATGTGTTAGGAAGTCAGGTTACAATGATTAAAATTATTGTGATGCGCAGACATGCTCCACCCCTTAATTTATAGGTGCATATACATTAATATGTATTTTTCCTAATTCATCTTATAAGCTTTGTACTTCACTAAGCACTATTCTTGCTACTTTTTAATACATCTACGGGGAAATTCCAAAAAAAATAAAAATAAAAAGTAGTCTGCATTCCCAAGAAACAGCCATATCAAACAAACTCAAAAGGTATTTGCATTTCTTGATCTATTTTAAACATTGTGCTTTTGTGAGAAGTGAATGATATATTAAAGTAACAGCTTTCTTGTTATACCAAATAGAATAATGGCTTGTAGAATAACCTAGCCGCTTATTGATCCAGCCAATAAACAAAGTTATACCCAGAAATAGTTGAATGCCCTTCATAGTAGTTAAAAGCTGAAAGCCATCTTCTAAAAGTAGGTCTCCCTACTTCTAAATCAAAACACTAGTAAGAGAAAATATAATTTTTTTTTTTGCTCAGCCAATAAAAGAATTTTAGTGTCAAAGAAAGAGAAAAATAAAGCTGGGACATATTGTCACTTGTCAGAAGCATACCTTAACAAAGGAAACAAAACCAACACAAAGGCAGACTCAGAAAGAATTGGAACCTGATTATAATTACTCCAATCAAAAATGACCTTAGGAAAAAGTACGTTTCAGACTAGCAGCTCAAAACAATTGGAGACCTGGAACTTGATTGTATCAATGAGTCTTGCCAATCTCAGTGATGGGTAGGTAGTTACGCGAGTAATGTCTCGTAAAAAGCATATCTTGTATCATTCAGATGCAACAATTGTATTATGAGAGGCAATTGAAGGCAAGTTATTGTGAAACAGAAATGACAAGGGAGCTGAACGTGTATGTCATTGAAGCAAACTTCATATCCAGTGTCCTTCATCAATCGAGGCAGTGAAACAAATTTAAGCTATACTTTCACCAAAGCTAATATTGGAAGCATAACTTCCGAGCCAAAGCTCACACACCTACCTTCCTTTTTTCATGCTTTAAGAACTGAAAAAGATTCACATTAACACTGAAATTATATGACAAAGTCAACTCAAGCAAAATGACAACTTGCCTATCATGGGGAAAATCAGAAACTAAACAAATTGTGGAAAACAAAAAGCAAAATTAGACAAAAATAAAGCAAAGTCATAAAATTGACAGGGAAAAAAATGAATTAAAGCATATTAAACTAATATTTTACCTTGACTGTTCAACCAAAGTGAGATAGAAGAGTAAGGGAGCCACAGATAAAAGAGAGAAGGGAGAGAAACCTGAGAAATAAATGGCGGCGCCGGCTCAAGGGAAAGAGGGGGAAGAGAGAGAGGAGGTACCCGCGGAGTAGAGAGGGCAGAGAGAGAATCCGCCACAGTGGACGAAAGAGAAGCTGGCCGGCGGCAGGTGCAGAAGAGACACTCGCCGGCGCTGAGAGAGAGGAGAGAGGACGTGATAGCGCGGGTGGTAGAGAAAAATATATAAGGGACTTTAAAACCCTAAAAGCACGCTCATATTTTTCACACTTAAATATTTTTTGTGAGTAAGCAAGAAGAAGAAACGCAACTTCCCTAATTTCATTAGTAAAATTTTTGCAAGTGGATTTAAATTCTAGGTTTATACGGAGGCATTAACGAAAGTTAGCTATGCGATGAACATAATAAATTTGCATGAGAAGCCGTCAGTTGTTTTTTTTTTTTAATTTTTTTTATTTTAGGTTTTCGGCAGAATAAAATTTAGGCATTTGGAATTTTGGCAAGTAAAATAGATTTGTTTGGTTAATATAAATTTAGTTATTTTTAATATATAAAAATAGCTTTTAGTTTCTTGTATGGATTTCATGTATTATTGTTTTTTAGTTATTCTTAAATTGTTTTGAACAGAATGTTATTTTTTATGCAAAACAAAAAAAGTTGTCCAATATACATTTTAGTTTTATAAATTTATAATTTTAAAATAGAGTTAAAAAGTTGAGTCCTTTTAATGGAAAAAAAAAAAAACCTAAAAAGAAAAAGAGAAAAAAATTTAAGAATATTTTTTGTAAATATTTATAATTGATAATAATTATTTTTCAAATTTATTAAATATAAAAGTTTATTGATTTATACTTTCCAAAGTTAAAAAAAATATTAATTCTTACCAAAAAACGAAACAAGAGAGATTCTACTAGTTCTAATCAAAATTGTAATTCAAAAATATTCACTCTATCAATTCCAAGTTTATCCAAAAAGTAAAGATATTAATTTGATCGATTACTGTCGGTTTGAGTAGTAAAAAATTCAATTTTTCTTAAGTAAGATATCAATTTTGAATCTTGTGAATGAAAAAACTAAGTTTTGAAGAGCTTATTCCTCTTATGGAGTGCAACTCGATTTAACTCCAAATTAATTAAAGTTCAAAGTGACTTACGAATACATGAGATCCCAAATAAAAAAGAAAAAAGATGTCAATTTGGAAACATTTTAAATACAAAATGATTGGAATGAGGTACTAATTTGATAGAATAAAATGTACTAATTATTTATGATATTATATATCATATATAATATAATATAATACAAAATCATCAAATAAAATTTATTTACGTAAATGTTTACGTGAATATCTTCTTTTAAGACAAATCTTATGAATTATTCTGACAACAACAATTAAGAGTGAACTGGTAGTGGGATAGGAATAAAAACACAACTTTTTTCCATTCTTAAGCAACTAGCAAAAGAAAGATTAATTTTTTAAAGGACTAGAAGACGGATATGGAACATAAAGTGAAGACAAAGAAGGAATGAAAGATAGCTCTCAACTATTTCAAGAATCTGTTTCAATCCCAAAAGCCAACCATGTTCGAGGTTCTCCAAGAGATAGATACTCGATTCACAAATGAGATAAGTTTCTCCTTGCAGAATTCCAACCAAAAGAAATTTATAAGGCAATCAAACAAATATACCTAACAAAAGTTTCAAGACATAATGGTATGCCTGCTCTACTCTTTCATAAATACTGGCATATTATTAGAAAATATGTGACTGGTTTTTGTTTATCCTATCTGAATGGGGAAAGACCGATCCATTAAGTGAACAATACTAATATTGTATTGATTCCAAAAATAAAAAACCCTAAAACAATGGTTGGTTTTCAACCTATAAGTTTGTGTAATGTCATTTATTAGATCATTTCAAAAACTTTGGCTAATAGGTTTAAATAAATGTTTTCTAATTGTATAAGTGATTCCTAAAGTGCTTTTGTCTTGGGATGCTTTACTACTAACAATGTTTTGGTGGCATATGAAATTCTACACACTTTAAAACATAAAAGATCGGGAAATAATGGATATATCACTTTAAAACTCAATAAGAGCAAAGCCTATGATAGGGTGGAGTAAATGTTTCTATAAGTCATTATGAAAAAGATGGGTTTTACTAATCGATGGATTTCATGGATCACAAGATGTATTACTTCAGTTTCAATTTCATAGTTCTTAATGGCCATGTCACTGACAGTTTTTGTCCTCTTTCACTCTATTTATTTCTTCTATGTACAAAAGGCTTTTCAATTATGTTAAAGCAATACCAAGATGAAGGATGGATAACCGGCGTGAGGGCTAGTCAAAATGGTCCATGAATTACTCATTTGTTTTTTGTAGAGGATAACTTGCTATTTATAAAAACAAGGCCAATGAAATGCTTGTGGGTGAGGCAGTGCTACAAAAATATGAGGGAAGTTCTAGACAACAAATTAACTATGATAAGCTATCATTATTCTTTAGTAAAAACATATCAAAAGATTGCATGAAAAAATGTCAAACATACTTTTGGAATGCAAGTGATAATAGATCCAAAAAAATATCTAGGATTTCAACAATGGTACAAAGACAAGAAAGCATTTAAAGAAATTATAAATAGGCTAAAAGGAAAAATACAACATTGGAGTAGAATGATGCTATCCAAAGGTGAAAAAAAAGTAAATATAAAAGCGGTTCTCTAGGCAATACCAATATATGCCATGAGCTGTTTCCTTCTCCCCAAAAGGCTGTGTGATGAGATAAATAGTATTACAAACAAGTTTTGATGGATATCAAAACCAAAAATGAGAGGCATCCACTAGTTGAAATGGGATAAGCTTTGTCAAAGTAAAGCTATAGGAGGAATGGTTTTTAAAGTTATGGCGCGCTTCAATGTAGCTTTATTAGGAAAATAAGGATGGCATATAATGAAAAAACCATGGTCATTAGTCCACAAGGTGCTTAAGGCGAAATGCTTCCTTACCTCCAATTGCATGGAAGTAGAGTTGGTGCAAATCTATCTCTTACTTGGAATAATGTTTAGGTTACAAGAAAAGTATTAGAACCAAGTTGTAAGATGGAAAGTAGAGGATAGAGGCAAGATCATAATTTGGTATAATTTGTAGGTTAAATTGTACTAGAAACTAAAACCATGTGGAGAAATGACACTAGTGGCATAATATAAGTTTGTTTCAAACTTGATTGATCCGAATGAAAGAAAGTGAAAAGATGATAAGATGAAAAAACTATTCTCGACTGAGGAAGCAAATATAGTTTGCTATATACCCAAAAGATGTGTGGAAAGAGATGATCAACTTGTATAGGGTCCAAAGAAGAATAGTGAATACACAGAAAAGAGAGCCTAAAGAATGCTTAACAAACCACATGAAGAGATTACAAATGATGGCTTAGAGAATGGCTTTTGGAAAAAAAAACTTTGGAAATTGTGTTAGTAATATGCCCTAAAATCGATTGAATTGGTTATGTGATACATATCATATTATGCATTTCTATTATTATCAAAGACATTATTTATCTATAAGATTGTATACACATAATTACAATTACTTACTTCTTATAGATAAAGTCTATGCAATAAATATGCTTTGCAAGAAAATTACAATGAAATTATAATTATGAGATTATCATTGTATTAAATCATTATTTTTTAAATTTTTCTTAATTGATGCTTTGTCAAGAAAAGACATTGATAAAAGATGTTAAAATCGATACATGGTTATGCTCTTGTTTATGAAGCAAGCAACCAATCTCATAGGTTGAAGTTTAAGTAAACTTGAACTAACATATAAGTGTTATATGATAGTTCACATAGTGTCTATAGCTATATTCTCATGTGATGGTGTATAAGTGATCCTTTGACTTGAGATTACTTATGATCTTATATAATAAATGTTATACTTTGACTTTACTTTATTATAGTTCTAGTCAAGAATGCTCAAGTCAAGTATTGTTGAGTATAACATAAGGCATATGAAGATGTACGAAGTAATCAAGATTGGATTTATCACTTTTGTGATCAATAGAGTATCTCAACTAGTTTTGATTAAATTAACTTAAAAAACCTTTGGTCAAAGCGAAATAAGAGTTTAAAATTATTTTAAAGTTTATTTGTGAGTCAATGTCAATAATAAGACTTAATATGGTTGAACAAGATTGAATAGCTACTAAACTATACTTAATGTTCAAACCAAGATACTAGTGATGAAAGATATTAATTATACACTAAGACATTCATGGATAGGTTGTTAAGCATTATTGATTGTTCTTTAGCAATTGGGGGTCATGGTAATAAAGTTAGCACTGATCATGATCTATAAATATAAGATTGACTAATTAGAGAATTAGTGATAAAGTCAAAAAGTTTGTTTCATCCATAACTGAATGCTTAAGGCTCACAATACTTGTATTTATTACCAACATGCTAAAGAACTTAATAGGTCACATATAATAGGATATGTTGTGAAAGATTAAAATTAGGATAAATTAAGTCAGAGTTAATTTATTGGGTTACAATCTAATATAGAGAAACATATAAAAGTTCAATACTAAATGGGATGTTGTATGGTCGACCAAGTAAATGATTCTATTGAGTATAGGACTTAGTTAAAGTGTTATTCTATTGAGAATAGAATTAAGTGTAAAGAAACCCTAATACCCTAGATTTACCTCTTGTCTCTATATAAAGAACTTAAGCCACCCCCTCTCTAATAGTATTCTAAGAGTAGATATCTCATGTGGTGAGAACAATTGAGACAAAATACAAAGAGGGCAATTGATAACTCTCACTAGCTAGAGATTTCGGTTTTTAATTCTTCCTATCCCTTGGAGAAAGTTCTTTGGTCTTGTTTATGTGGATCACCATTAGAGGCTAAACACTTAGACAACTTTTAGAGTTGAGAAACTATTTGGAAGGTCACCAACTTGAGCCAAAAAAGTATCAGCATTCAAGGTAACAACCATAGCCAAAACCTATATAATTTATATATATTGTATGTTTATATGATCTTGTTGATTAATTTTAGCTTTAGGGAAATAAAAATTTTAAAATTTCACTGTTTTACTGTAATTATTAATGTTTAATTCCCTTCAAACTGAACTTACCAAACAAGATAAAGATAAGGGTCTTTGGATGGCGACTAAATAATGGAATTTTACCAGTACTTAGAAACTTAAAGAAGCGGGGAATTGAGGTGCAGGAGATATGCCAAAAATGTTGACAAGAAGAAGAAATAGTAATGCATGCAATAAAAAGGTACAAGGCAATAAAGTAAATCTAGAACACGAGTGGTTGGGGAGAAGAATGGACTAATGCAGAATTAGAAAATGAAAAAGGCTGGCTACGCCACATGTTTGAGAAAGTGGATCAGAATAATTTGGAAGTGGGGTTATCAACAAGCTGGATGATTTGGCACAATAGAAATGCAAAAGTCAAAAACAATGAATGTAAAAATGTTGAAGAAACTATGGCGTTTATTGAAAGATACTCGGAAGAATACAGAGAAGCTTAATCTCGTACAACTTCCAGTGTTAATAATGGAAGTGTGAAATGGGTAGCGCCAGAGATAGGAACTGTTAAGCCAAATTTTGATAGGGCACTAAATGCAGAAGAGAGTGTATGTAGAATAGGGATAATGGTAAGTGATGGAACAGGCCAGATGCTGGGGGCATGTTCAACAACAATGACGCGAGTTAGAGATCCCATAATTGCAAAGGTGCTAGCAGCGACGAAGGCCATTGAATTCATGAAGGAAATGGGATTTAAGTTAGTCATAATTGACGGAGATGTCCTAGAGGTCATAAACTAAAGTGTAATGAAGTGAATCTATCGATGGTTTGTGAGTTAATCCATGATGCAAAACTAATGAGGCCGGATATTCACTACTTCTCTACTGTTCATACTAAGAAAGATGCGAACAAGGCTGCACATAGATTAGCAAAGAATGCACTTAGATCACCTATGAGTCAACGTACTGGTTTAAGGAATGTCCCTCCATTATGTTGGATGTAATTCTCTCAAAAAGTACTATTTCATGATCTAATAATGAAGATTATCTTTTGGTTAGAACTAAACTACTAATCCTAGTATGGCTAGGATTTCTTAATATAAGTAGTTTGATTTGTATTTTAATCAATTGATAATCCTAAATGATTTAAGATATAAATTATCAATTTAAATTAAGTATCCAAATTTAAAATAAAATGTTTGAGTGGTTATTCAATTTAAGATTAAACGTTTTAATTTATTCAAATAAAAATTAAACGTTATCTACTTATAATAATATAAGATTTTTTTAATAGAAAATGAAATGTGAAAGACACACACTATTATATAGTGTGGGAAGTTTAATGTGATAGTGATGTGGTTTTTTTTATTTTTTATTTTATTTTCTGATTTGGATGCAATTAACATCTTCAAGCCCCTTCATTTAAACTAAAATTTATAGCATCTTTCTGTTATTTGAACTAAAAATTTTGGATACCACTAGAAATCTAGTAATACCCAAGCTCATGTCTAAGTTCATTCCTTCATTTGAAGTGTAGATCTAAGATTTAAGATGCATTAATTTTAAATTTTGTTCTTAGATCTAGCATTTGGTTTTACATTCCTTGTTCGGTTCTTACTTATTTTCATACTTTGGAATAAATTTCAAGTTAGATCTATATTAGTTTACTGTTCTTTAATGTGTTTTACATCAATGCATATAGACTTTAGGTTCGATTGCATTCATTCTATAGTCTTGAAGTTTTGGTTTCCTTGTTAGTGCTAGTTTTGAAGTTTCTGTTTTAGCTTGTTTTAGCCTATTATACTTAAGTCTTATTTTAATAAATTTTTATGTTATGTTGATGTTATTTTGATGCATCCCTAGATTAGATTTCTCGTATTTACTTATTATGTTACTTGTCCATTTACTTGCTTTGTTATCATGTTTAGTTGTATTGTTTCTTTACTTGCTTCTCCTACTTCCTTGCATTTAATTTGTTTTCCTAGCTTAGAATGCTATAGATTAAACTTTTTTACTTCAATAGTTTGATATTATTTGCTATTTAGTGATAACTTTGATGGCAAGTCTTCTTGAAAGTGTCTAGTTGTATGCTCATTTTCAATTCATTACTAATGAATAATGTGGCCGAATATAATTGTATGAAAAATCAATATAAATCACTAATAATAAATTAATGGTTAATATAGGAAATATTGAATATAAATACGAAATATCAATCAACAAAAAAACCATTAATAAATTTTTGTTATGAACAGAGTTAATTTTATATTTAATGTAACATAATTTTATATTATTAACAAATTACTTTTAATTCAATTTAACTTTGATATTTTAATTCGTATATAATTTAATTACAATTATTTGATTTCAGAAATTCAGAAAAATATGAAGACAAACTAATGCTTTGAAAGATAAAATTGTGATTGTGATTTCCTCATGAATTTAAAAAGATGTCATTTCCTTTTTTTATAATTATTTTTTTTCATAGCAGTAAAAAGTCCTTATCCTTACTCCATAAAAGGAAAATGAATTAACCCTGGAGGAAATGCACTAAGCCAGTATGAAGCGGTGAGAGAAAGATAAACAGGTGCTTTGAAATGTTGAAAGTGCAATTTTTTTTTTCACTGCTGCCAATTCCCAAAGCAAATCTTTGGAGGGAAGTAACTAACTAGTAGTATAATAAGATAAATAAATTTATGAGAAGAGAGATGCCAAGTGCCAACAAATAAGACAACCAATCACTAATTATTTCATGAGAAGCAATTATGAATTCATAACTTGAATTACAATGCAATTTTCTGTATATAACATCGAAGACTCCTGAATCTGCCACACCATAAACCCAAAAAAAAAAAAAAAAAGAAAAGAAAAGCCCCCTGAAACTAAGGATGAGTAGCAGCAGTTAGCAATGTACACGTGCCACGTAAAAGAAACCTAAATTTTCCTAACCATGGACACCACATTCTACCCATATTATACAGATTGTCCACATGGAGAGTGTTGTAGCCTAGTTTCGACTTCCAACAAAAGCAGAAACAGACCCGCTCTGCACTCTGCAGTGGCTAAATGGATGGAACCCTTCGAGTTCCAGGCACCATAAACTACTCCAAATGCTACTTCAATTTCATAAAAGAGATTCTGGAAAGCTTCAGGATCACAATGGATCAGCACCTACTCTAAATTCTTAGATCAGCCACTGCAAAGATAGAAAAAACACAACAAATTAGTAAATAGTACCAGTACTGCACCAACTATAATATCACAGATGGTTGTAGAAAATTGTCAAAAGGTAGTGCAATACTGTAACAATTGAACGTTGAGACAGGTATTTGATCTTATTTCAACCTCGCTTTCATTCCCCTAGTCCACATTTTGAATAGTACATTCAAAAGGACCCATTCAAACCCCCCCCCCCCCCCCAAAAAAAAAAAAATTGCACATAGTTGGTTTCATCTTTATTTTCAAACACCAAAGAAGCTACAGAAAAACACACTACTCTTATCGAACGATCCTAAATCCACTATACACATCCACGAAATCAAAGAGGTAAGGGCAACATTTGTAGCATCATATATTTATAACCACCACCTTCATCATAAACAGTAGCAGCTGCTCAACTAAACCACATCTTAACGTCTTTAATTCCAAACAGTTTCCCACTCAATTTGCAATAACAATTAAGGAACGTTTTATTGTAGAATACTGAATTATAAGCGCATGGTGTTTGTTAGGACAAAGCAGCTCACTAGTCAATAACACGCAGTGACCCCAAAACATCAATTTACCAACTAGGAAAGCAATTCAGAGCCATCATACAGATATAACAGAACAAGAAAACTAGAATATGTTTCCTATAAATTGGGGCTAAAAAATCCAGAGAAATCAAAGCTCGATTCCCATAAACTAAAAGATCTTAAGAAAACCCTTGCTCCCATAACAAGCAAGGTTGTACTAATGGCAAAGTTGAATCCCATTAATTTTCTTGGTATGGTGGATGAACAGAATACTTTCAAGTTTCATCCTATTTTTGTATTCCATAAGAAACAATATGATACAACTTATGACATACCATATTTCTCCATTTACATGGATTGCAATATAATGCTACACCAAACCCAAGCCTCTGCACAGTCATTCACAGACAACATACTAAAAGCAGACCAAGTCAGAACAACATAGCCCACTGCAAACTAGATCAGAAAATTTTGGTTGGAAAGTTTATCAAAATTGCAAGGTTGACTCACAATTCTGCATATCTCCAGGAAAAAAAAAAAGACTAAATTTCCTCCAAAGGATCAGGTGGATGTTGTGCACCACCTAAGAGAAATGAGCTTCTAGCTTTGGGAGAGATCAAAGCTTCTAGAGGTAAACTACGAAAGACGTGGATGCAAGCAATAAATGATGATATGAGGGTTAAAAAAGTAGAGGAAAATATTGTTTTTGATAAAAATGAGTGACGCAAGAAGATTCAAAACTACGACCAAACATGATTCTTTTTGTTGACCTTTCATACAGCCGACCCCAAAGTTATAGGATATAAGGCTTAGTTTGTTATTGTTGTTGTTGGTGTTGATGAGGTGGATGTAATAACTAGCACACAGGTCTATCAGAATTTCTTTTAGTTGAAAACCACCACACATTAACTGACTTGTTATTCACCTAAGTACAGTCAGGTAAAAGGAGATGTCCACCACTAGATCAGATGAATATATTCACAAAGATATAGTTATCTGTAGTTTTATTTGCATTAAATACAACCAACAAAAAATGGTAGATTCCCCACAACATAGTGGAGAGGTTGCTCATAGCCTGTTTGCTATCCATTGCTTTAACCCAAGAGGATTAATATAATTCTTCATGCAGAAAAGTGCCTCACTCCATCAGGAAAAAAATGAAATAGACATGTATTTCTCAGCAACTAATTTATTTCTGACTCACGACCGAAATTTTATCACAAAGGGAGTACTCAATATTGCAAACTTATTTCTCTTGACATATCATGTCTGTACATTGTAAACACAAAAGAACAACAAATTCGAAGTTTAAAAAAGTAAAGACACAGATGATCAGAAGAGTTAAAACTACACATTTTATCATAAATTAATAGAAATGAAACTAACTGCAAAGCATCTAGGAAAAAAATTCCCAAAAGCAGCACTATGAAGAACCATAACAACAATAAATTTTCATATTTCATAGACTAGCATCTACAGGCCAAATCCTAGATGCCGGTATGCCTAATGAGTTACCACAGAATGAATAAACATTTATTACCAAGAATATCAAGTATAACACCACTCTTTCCATCACTAATATGATGTCATCTTTCCATCACAGTTGATTTCAATCATACAATAAAACCAGAAAGTATAGTTTCAATGTTGGATGATTGGAGGCTACATAAGCCAAATACTGAATAATTATCTGTTCAAAATGATGTTTTCCCTTTTACCAAATGGGATACCAATGATGAATGAATTGTATAGAGAAAAAGAAGAAAGTATACATCTTCATCTCACAACAATATTAATTTGCTGAGACATACAAGGTCTACAATTTTTTTCTTTGTTTTTACATGTGCCCATTTATTTCAAATGAAAGGGAGGTAACTCTCTTGATCTTATAAACCTCACACTCCCCTCCTCAAGATTTGAATATGAGACCCCCAAGTTGAAGTCTCATCTAATTGTTTAATCATCCAAATTTTAATTCACTTACATAGTGATACTTCCAGGCAAGAATATTGACTACCGTTTATATCAAATGTCATCAATAAACACCATTCATACTATTCAAAAGAACCACAGTATAAACAAAACTGTATACAATTCTATAACAGAAGATGCAACTTAAAAACAAGCATATACACTCAAGGAACTTCGAGGAATCAAATCATGAATTTTTACAAGACACAGAAACATTTTATCATACCTGAATCAAAAACATTCAAGACAATGGTGAATGTCTAGCATCAGACCCAGACGCTGAGGAACTTTCACCATCAGAGTCTGCAACAAGCACTATATAAGTTAGAACAATAAGAGAGAAAGTAACCCCAAAAACACTCTAGTTAGAAATAAATCATAGTACCACTTGCAGAAGACCCAGAATCACTGCTAGAGCTACTGGAACTACTAGACCTACTAGCATTATGTCCGTGCTTTTCCACTTCAGCAGGTGATGTGGACATATTCTGCTCATCTGCAGGTAGAAGTATATAAATTTTTAGTATCAATCCAACCAAGCATGCAGTAACCAAAGTACCATCATCCTTATAACATGAAAACTTACCAGTTGTGGCTTCTTTTGGCACTTCCACCAAAACAGGAGCTGGGGTCTGCAACTAAATACAACATAAGCATGAATTCTGCATCTCTTGGGAAAAAGATATTACATAAGAAACTATGACAGAAAGCTTTACCTTCTCTGGTGCAATCTGCTCAGCTTCTGCTCCAGCTTGAATGGCAAGTTCAGCTTTTCTCTTGTTTTTGCTCAAACTTTCCTTGTAGTTGGTAACAAATCTATCTAGCTCCCAGAGAGTCTCAGTATCCACACTGTCAATATCCACTTCAATTTCACCGTCATGTTGAAAGAGAGCTGAATTCCTTTTCTTAATAATCTGTACAATGTTGTCCAGCTTCTCCAAAGGCAAACTCTGAAGGTTAGTGCTAAGCTTCTGCTTCTCCTCATAAGTCATATCCCTCTTATACAGATCCTTTGCCTTAGGCTTTTTTGGAGTAGGGCTCCTACCTGGAGTAGTAACAATCAGTTTTCGTCTCACGTCAACAGGACGTATTATCGACTCTGATCTATCCAAGATCCTTCTCATATCAAGCGGTGGTGGTAGCATTGGATGTGACTTTCTGGGTGTTGGCATAGCAAGACTCACTTCATATTCTATTGCAAGTCTCATATCTCGAATATAATCTGCCTCTATAGCAGTCCATTTGTCCTCAAATATCTTTGATAACTGTTCGGCCATTACATGAACATCTTGTCCCTTAGGATTATATGTCATGGCATTGCGAAATGTCAGTCTCACATCCTCTGCAAACTCTCTAGGTGACTTGTACCAGTTCTTGTTAAGGCTTGATTTCACAGTACCCAAATCCATTGGATGCTCAATGATACTATAGTAATCATGCAAACCCAAACCCTTGACATCAACAGGAGTATTAAAGACCCAACCATGCTTATGCTTCATTAGTCTTTCAAGCAAAGAACTACAGCTCTTAAAGAACTTGTTACCTATACCAAACCCATGAGTGAATTCACCTCCTCCTTGCTTCTTTCCATTCAATTTCGATTTCTTGTTACTCTCAGCTGGCGGGAACTTATCTTTTGCAAGCAAAAACTCAGAATTTCGATAGAACTGATTGGCCTTAGGTGTTCTCTTCTCCTTCTCCAAATTTTCATTTGCACCCTGACTATTTTCCAAGACAGAAATATTCAACTGGTTCAAAGACCTTGATTGCTTAACAGGCTCCTTAGAAATACCCACTGAAGCCACCTCTGGTTGAAACCTCTTGAATCCATAATCAAGACTGTCATTCAATGGAACACGGAAATTATTAAACCCAATTATTTGGCCTTCTTTAGCTTCAATCCTCTTCACCAAATTCCTCACCAAATCAAGCTCAGTCTCCAGCTTCCTCCTCAGTTCCTGCATCTCCTGCTTTGACCTTGAAGCCAAATTGAACTTCACCCGGTTCTCAGAACTGGGCTTCACAGCTCCGTTGCCTGCCACAACCTGCTTCTTGTTAGGACTTGAAGAGTCATCAGACACTGCAGTATCTACGCGCGGAGCAGGCTGTTGGTCAGCTGGATCCCCATACCCTAATGGCAGAGGATGAGCTGGTGCTTCAGCGGAGTTGTTGTTGTTGTTTATCGCTGTTGTTATTGTCATTGGAGTTATCCTCGTTCTTCACAGTATCAGAGGCGGCGGTTGTGCTGACAGCAGCGCTGTTGACGTTGATGTTGTTGGTTGTGGTGGTGAGAAGACTGTTTTTCTTGGGATCCTTAAAAGCTTTCCTAGTATAAACCTTGCTCTCCATGTACCTCTGCTTCTCTCTCTCACCGTCTTTTCCTTCTCCAACCACTGTCCCCGAATCCATACATATATATTAGGGTTTAAAACCCTAATTTCCCCTTTTTCCAGTCTCTAATCAAACAATTCACCTTCTCCAATCAATCCAAACTACAGTTTAACTACCTCCGCACCAAAAACTCTAATTTCACCTTCCAAACTTGAAAGCTCCCAAAGTTTTTACCACTTAATCCAACTAGAAACACAACAAATCTAGAGAACAAAATCCTTCCTCCATCTACAAAATTAAAACTACAATCATCTATATAAACCCAAACCAAATTAAAGACAAAAGAAAAGAAAAGAAATTTCGCAGCTCATTACCTTCGGTTGTTCGATTTCAGATCTTCTTCAGAGTCTTTCTCTCTCCACAGTACTCTGTTCCTCTCTCTAGAAGTTCTGTTCGTTTTTTCTCTCGATTTGTTTCTCCCTCTATCCTTATCTTCCAGGTGTACGGTGGGAGTACTCTCGTGGTTACAAACGACTGGAGCAGCGAGTGGGTCCATCAGAAGAGCCTTGATAGGGAGATATCATACCGGCATAGGAAGTGTTAGATTCACGCTCTTTTTCTTTACGTGTTTAGCACGATCCAATTGTAAAACAGGATACAATGGAGTGTGAAGCCGACGTTAAGTTGAGGTTATACGGTTAGATTTCGCCGGGGAGCTTTAGTTGTGGTTTTTCTTATATTTTTCACTGCCGAGAAATGGGAGCGTGTGGTTTAATTCCGGGCTGTTTCATAAGTAACCGGAGTTGGGTATTTAACGGGAAAAATAATCCTCAAACAATATTTTTACAAGCAATCAGAGTAACATTTCATCCTCCTTTCAATGGGGACGCTAACTGCGACTTTCCATGCATTTCTATTTGCATCGATTGGCTATAAATGGAATTAGGAGTATAATCAATTATGTTTGAGTTGATATAATATTAAATTTAAATTTAAATTTGATTCAAAATTCAATATTCAAAACTTGAAATTTTGTTTAAATTCAATCGAGTTTTATTTTTTTAACTTAAGTTCAACTTGAAATAAAAATTAAGCTACTTAAATTTTATCAATTAAACTCTATTAACATATAAAAATACACTCGATTCTTATATTCGATAAAAACTTAATTATTTGTGTTCGAATTCAAGCTCAAGTTTGAGATATTTTATTAATTAAAATAATAAATATATATTTAAATATAAAAGCTCGATTAGGCTCGCGAGCTACTCGAACCGAGTATAAAAATGCTCAAGCTTAGCTCGATTGATAAGTCGAGCTATTTGAACTCGAGCTCGACTCAATAATAATCAAGTCAAATTCAAGTTTTATTCGAATCAAATTTGAAAACTTACAAGTACTAATATATTATTTACACCCTTAGTTGGAAATATCATTAAATAATATTACGTATGTAAATGTTTTTGTTTTGAATCTTATAAAACATGCATCAATCTTTGCAAATGTTTTGGAAATTAGAAAAAACAACAATTTGCTTATTCTTATAATTTTTAAAACATTTTCAAAACAAGTTTAGCCAAAAACACAAGATGAACAGCACTTTTTAACGGTATTTTGCCTTCGATTTTCATAAATGACAACTTTATTTCATTTTCAAACTTTTTCTCTATTTTATCAAAGAAACTTGTACAATTTTCTTATTGCAGTGCCATTGTTGCATCTTCTCATCTGTCCCCTTCTAGCTCTCAGCTTAATTTATATTTTCAAATCCTTAAATCTTTTTATCCAAACTCTTTATTGTAGGTCATCCTTTCTTTGTTGGTGTTTGTGCCGAACTCCTACATAAGAGTGTTCCTAGAAAGACAGAAGAGAAAAATGGTTAAAGGTAAAGGTAGGGAGTATTCTTTACATTTGCATTCTAATGCTCAAGTCAGAGAATAGATTGTAATGAGAGAAAGATATAGAATCAGGATTAGAAAAAAACCTATCTTAATAATGCCTGGATGTCTGTATTTATAGATGAAAGGGAGGGACCAGTGGGTGACAATGCGTAGGGTTTCTAATAAAGGAAAAGACCAATATGCCATTTTGACCACTAAATGCCCCTAACATTCTATTATCTTACCAAGAATATGAATGTTACATTATAGGGTATGCATTTAATTTATTTTGTATAAGTCGATCAAATGAAAGGAGAAGGCATGAGATCTGATCTCTTATAGTCAATTTCGATGTAGAAGTCAACATTGGGGTAACCGATCGCAAACTGTGGTCTGACCTGGTAGGGGTCTAATCTTGTACACATGTTTAGGGTTGAATGCATAGCTAGCTTTAAAGTGATCGAGGTGCCTTTTGTCAAAGGTGATCTAGGATTAAAATAAGATTTCATTTCGTCGACGTGGGACTTGGACTTTTTTTTAGAAGTTTGGATTCAAGTCTTCATTTTGAATTTTGATGATGAACCAGGTGTCGATTCCTCAAGTTGGTTCAGGTTGGGGAATCTGCTTGGCCTATCCTAGAGAGCCATCCAGTCTAACTTGAGAGGCTGTCTAGTCTAGCTGGTCTAATGGCATTAAATGAGAAAAGAAGTAGCTTGAGTAGAAAAATCTAAAACGAGAAAGACAAAAATATGTATTTTAGTTTGCAATTTGACACATGGTAAAATCTGGGTCACCTATCTAATTTGAGGAACAATTATATAAAGGGCCATTGGGGCCTTCATTTTCTACCTTTCTACTTTCATTGCTGTTAACCTGACTTAAATTTTTAGACCTCAAAATTTTTTTGACCTTACATCTCTTCTTCTTTTTTTCCTTCTTTTTATTTTTTTTAGTATGTACTTTTCATTACATATTTTAGTTTTAGTTCTGAGGAGGTTAAGTGTTTCAAGGTAGAACCTAAGAAAGGTTAGCTCAGGAAGGATGACAATAACCTAATTCCATCAATTATCGGAGGTCGTGACTATCAGAGATTGGCCTATTGGTTTAATCTAATGTCCAAGGAAGGTTGGTAACGAAATTATAATAATGCTTGGGTAAGAACAAAATGTGTCATGAGGACAAATGAGCTCTATGCTTAGATAAATTTTGATTTAGAGAATCCACCTCTACTTTTTGTCCTATATCTCAGGTCGATCCATCTTTTATAACCGATATTTTTTATTTTTAGTTGTTTTCCCTTATAGGGTATAGTCTCATCAATTTTCCTTTTCTTTTGCTCTTTCACCACCACCATGCTTCTGTTGTCACTTCCATTCCCTTTTGGTCAACTCTCATTAAGATTACTTTTTTTCTTAAGGGGTTTTACTTTGCCCTTTTTCTTCCAAGGTTATGTTGCTCTTAGTTACTGTTTAATTTCAAAATCTTGCTCCTACTCAAGACTCAAAATCTTCTAGTAGTGAAGATTTTGATGATGAGGATGATTTTAAGAAGGAACAAGAGAAATGAGGTACTCCGACTGAAGAAAGTGATAATGAGAATGGGAGTCTTCTAAAGCAGGATGAGTTGGTTAAGGTTTCTGTATATACTTCTTGTAACCTCGATGTAATCCCTAAATATGTGATGAAAAAACTAAAAGGCAAAGATAATCCTGAAGACTGCCTTAACGTGTGTTCAACTCATTACATTCGCATTCTAGTAATGAACTTTTATTTTCCTAGAGAAAGGTATAGTTAATGCCAAACTCCTTATAGCAAACTCCTTAGATTGAATCATTAATAAATTGGAGTCATATCGACTTTATGTATATTGGGATTCATTCATGGCCAGTCTAAGGTTTCTATTACATTTTTTATTTGTTCAATTTTTAATTATTATAATTTATCTATCACTCAGCTCATTCCCAACTCTATATTGTACATAATAAGTTTTATCAATTTTTGCCAACACTTTGATATTCTTCCCAATCTTCTTCTATTTAGGAAATTTTTTTATTAAAAGGTACCCCAATGATAGAAGGTGGTAACAGCTTAGCCTAATAAAAAATTATTTATTGATTACCCTGAGCTTTATCAAAAATTGAAAGCTGCTTTTCTTTTACCTTCAAAAGCAAAAATAAATAAGAATGGTGAGACTGAGGTTGAGGCCTAGGAGATAATAAATGAGCTCAATGTTTTTGTAAATGTGCCAATAGTTCTATCCATCCTGAACTTATTAGATTGGGATAAAATAATGGACTACACTTAAAGGGGGAGTTCGTTATAGATGCCCACGAACTAATCTCCCTTGAAATAATAAATAAAATAAAATCTAGGTTAGGTGTGAGGTAACCTCGTGGATTCTTTGTTTCATTTAATTTTTATCTAACACTTAACTTAGTTTTGCAAAAATGTCCACCAACAAGGGCTTCAACATTTCCCTATTCCAACACAAATCGAGGCCCAAAAAGATCTAAAGTAAGAATATTCAGCTCAATGCCCTCTTTCATAGGGAAAATAAGGTCACCAACCTTAGAATGGATAAACTATTGAGCACCTCAGCATAACACTTCTTAATCAATCAAAAAACAAAGTCAATAGCTCATCGAAAGCTTTCTTTAATAGTACCCCTAACAAGAAGCTGAAGGTCAAAATTTCCCTCTCTACTTTAGAGAATCTCAAGTTAAGGGTGTTAAGGCCCAGTTCAAAAAAATCTACATGATACTAGAGTACACCCTAGCTAATGATACCATGAAGAACCTTGACATTACGAAGAGATTCTGTAAGGTCACAATCCCTTCCCTTAGTGTGCACTACTTAACTCTAGTTTAGCTTGTTCATTGTTCTTCATTTTTATTTTTATTTAAGTCAAAACTCATCTTATGTAGTTCATCAAAAGCTTCCACCTCAACCTCTTAACAACACTACCCAGACCCTACATCATGCCTACTTTGCTATGGCTTACTTGCTCAAGGTTGAGAAAGACATGGTCGTCTTGAGCAAATAACACAAGAATAGCTTAAATGCTCTAGGTAACTTTAGGTCCAATCTCAGTGCATCCCATAAAAAAGAGGCTAAGTAAAGAAAGAGAATATAGAAGCTAATGACCAAACTTGAAATTATGCATATTAATAAGGCCTCAGTAAAGTTAATGAGGGAATAACCTAAGTTAAAACTTAGTGACACTTAGGCTGAGATAGCTAGGCTGAAGTTTGAGCTAGAAGCTAAAGAGAAGAAAAATGAAGAGTTGAAGAAAAATGCCATGAGGACTTCAAGGCCTCTGATGAATTTTTTAAGCTTTAAGTAGAGTTTTACAGGTATAACATACTAGGTGTCTTTGATCTGGCCAAAAATGAGATATAATTCAAATTTGCTTACTTCAACCTCGATTTTCCTAATATTGATATCAACAATATCAGATCGAGGCCTTCTATGAATCAGTTTTGGAAGGAGAAAGAGAATGAAGATGAATATGGGGCATTAGAACGCTTAGGTCGAGGTTGTTGCTATTGCTTTTAATGATAAAAGTGCCATTGTAATTGCTGCTACTAATGTTGCTGAATCATAGCTTTTTTTTTTAACTTTTTGTAAATTTTTGTTTAAAATTACTGACGTATAAGGTTGATTTTTGTTGTAGTCTTGGATAAGAATCACTCTACCAAAACTTCTATCAAATATATTTTTTTTGCAATGAGATATATTAACTCGAAAGAAATTTAGTTGCTATCAACGATAAGTTCAGCATTTTTTTCTTTACTTGAAGAAGTTTAAGCTTGGTTAACTATTGTCAGGGTCGTCGTGACATAAGTTTTATGAATTTGCCTTGAACTATCCAAAATGAATTAATCAGTATTTGATTTGACTGAAAATAATCCAAACTTTAAGTTTGATTAAAGTGATCTAAAAATTCATTTAAATATCTAAGGATAAATTAGCTTGAGAATTCATTTAAAAAATTAAGTCAAATTTTGTTAAGTTGTTTAGAGCAAAGA